TTCGGTTACCATATTTCTTTTATTTCTAGGCTTTTGTACTTTATACAGGGTGTCACCTAATAAATTGTAATCCTTTGGGGGATAGTACACGCCAAAACAAGAAAGTTTTTCCTTTATCATTTTTGGTACTGTTTTTTAATAAAAAAAATTATGAATTTTTTTTGACAAAACCAGGGAGCCACTGGATGTATAAGTATTTCATAATTGTTTTTACCTCTAAAAACAACGATATTATTTATCTAAGCAAAAGGAAACAGGTACGCGCACAGTGTGTTATGTAATATCAAGCAAACTTTTAAACTTATTCAAAATCGGTTGCTTGTACTTTGTTATCATTGATTACTGACAGTTTGGTTGTTTTTGTGGTTTATCTGGAGCTACATGAATAGTTTAGTGTACCAGAGCGAAGTTGACACACAGAAAAAAATCTAACATAGTACCAAGAACAGGGCTGTCATTGAATGCATTAAAATTGAAGCAATCTAAATTGTTATTTGCTCAATTAATTACTATTAAACCAAAATAGGAAAATATTTTGCCTAAATGTCAAAGAATTTATTGAGTTAAATGTATACATAGTATACATACAATAGTAACGTTATTAAATAAATCAAATTAGTATTAATTGCAATAACATTCTAACATTCTAACAAATAAATATCAATATGAATATCAATAGGTTTAGGAGCGATTACTTTTGTCGTTAATTTAAAAACAGTAAACGATTATAAACCAAGTGCTAACTACCTATTGGTATTATAGGATCTGTTATTCAGGAATACGGATTACAAGATCCCATTGGTTTAATGGCTCACCCATTTATTTTATGCTAGAGTTTTTTCTGTGCACATTAGAACAACTCCGCGAACCTGTCACTGCAGCGGCAGATAAAATTCAAAAACATTCGGATATGATAGCATCATATCATACACATCATAATTTTCTACTCCGCTGTCAACTTTGTGTGGATAATAACGGCGGGATAGTTGAATATTTATTATGATTTTGTGAAACACTTTAAAAAATAGCTACATGAGCATCAATCAACGTGAAAGGTGAAAGTACCTACCGTAAAACGGGGTTACATTGAACATTTCTTCATATTTCGTTGAATAACTTTTGTACCTGTGGTTTAATCGAAACAAAAAAAATACCACTTATGGGTCACTATGGAACCATGACTTTACATATGCTAGATTATGAATTGTGCGTAGCTATGTACAAAAGTTGCTGTGATTGAACAGTAATATAAATAGGTATCTACGTGCCCACAGGTTACTTATTTGTTCAATGAAACTCCGATAACAAGCGTTAAAAATTAGTGGGGAGTCAGTTTATTAATTTTTTTTTATATTGGTTGACAAAATATTTGTTCACATTATTTTTTATTAAACTTTTTATTCCTTAATGCAGTGAATTAAAATATTATCCTATAGGATAGTTTATAAACTAAACAAATTTGTAATTCGCAAGAAAAATAAAAAAAGGGAAAAATATGAACGGCAGTCTCTATAGTACTCTAAACCACGGCAGACAACAATATTAGCATGGATCGCTAGCGATGTTGCTTGGACACGCTGAATCATGCAGTTCAATGTTACCCCACGTTTCCAAAAAAATTAACATATTTTTTTTATTATGTATAATAAAATATTTCAGAACCCGAATCATTTCCGTTCTTATGTAAAATAAGGTTCAAATACTAGACATTAAGGTAGTTGTCGTGGTACAATATTGTCAAAAATTTTTATACGCACCGTAAAAGTATACGAGCTTGTAGCTAAGTGATTCATAATTTCGCAAGACTGTACCTTTGGAGACGTTACCTATACGAAATACTTTCACATATTTTAATAAGTTTAAATCCGGCAACGTCGCTTATGCCCAACCAATAGATATATTGGAGACTGAATCAGTCTGTTTGAATTTACTGCGCAAATAATATCTATACTCGCGTACAGCGTTGCCAAGTTGTTTTTATCTGACTAGTATGTATACTTTTTTACAATTTGTTGAACTTAAAACGGTTATTTATAAACAATTGGACGGTCAAATTTTTTTAATTTTTTTTATAACTAAGAAACTGGTACAGAACTACAGAAAGCGTATACAATCCATGTTAATTATTCAATTTTTAATTGAATTTATCTCGCGTTATAGACGTTCAATCGTCTTCAAATTTTAAGGATCCTTAATAAGTATGCAAAAATTTAAAATTTTCTGATGGTATGCCTACAGCACGACAACTACCTTAAAGGATGTATTTTGCAAAGATTTTATTTACCTATATAGGTAAAAAATATATTTTTTTTTCAGAAATTTTTTTTGATTTTTTTTGTTAATTTTAAGAACCTGAGATCAAACTTCATTAGGAAGTCCAAGGGTAACATATTTGCAACCCTCAAAAAAATATATCGGTTCCAAAAAAAATGTTCAGGCCAACTTGTAGAAAAATATAATCTTCATTGCAAAACTTTTTAATGTTACCCTGGAGTTCTATGTAACCCCGTTTTAAAAATAGCTGAGTATGCCAAACAAAACACAATTATCAAAAAAGTAATCAATGATAACACAAATATAAATTGTCCACTGTGCAGGCACATTTTGCGTCAGTTGTCATAGGTCATGAACAACCAGTACTGGCGGCCAAAAATTTCTACTTAACTAAAAATATTAATGAGTTTTTATTTAAAAAAAATGGCACTAATGCAAAAATGATGAGGAAAAACTTTTTTATTTTGGCGTGTACTATTATCCCCTTAAAAGATGACAACTTATTTGGTGACACCCTGTATACGTGATCGCTCATTTAACTAGTTTTAAGACGGAAAATAATGCTATCATGGTTCCTTTTTACTAAATTGTTGTAAAATCTAGTAAACCTTGTAAAGTTATAGTAATAAACGTTGAAATTAAAAATTATATATATATATGGGGGGGGGAGGCATTCCATGTCAACTCGGCCACCCCCTCCTGTGCAAAATTGACTAAAGTTTTTCGAAACGTGCAACTGATAAATTTTTAGCTTATCGTCTTAACTTTCAAATGCCGAGTGGTATTTTGTAAAATTTCAAAATGGCGGTGTCAATATAGTGACTGCAAGCAATATACATCACTTTAAAAAAAACCGTATTAGGTAGTTTACATTAACTAACAGCGTTATAAAATTAAAAATTGAATTTTATTATATGCACTAATCTATTATCAGTGATTCTATGTTTTTTTACCGCTGATTACACAATGGTTCGCCCCTAACCCCAAAAAATAACTTAAAAAGCAGATTTGTGAAAGTTACAGCCCCTAAATGCATTTTTGATACATATTTTTGCATTTATTTTTTGTATTTCTCATTGCCTAATATAAATATGGCCTTACCTCAGAGTCGACATAAAACTGTATGTTCGTAACCTAAAATAACTCTCAAAAAATGTATTTTTACCTTCTTTATAGCTGTTTAAAGCATTTTAAAGATTGGCATGAGGTTAAATTTTTATACTTTTTATCGCCAAGTACGCAAATAATCCAACTATAAATTGCAGACTAAGCAGTTTACCCCTAACCTTAAAAATATTTTCTAAAAATTAATTTTCTGCAGATACACATGCTGAAGAAAATTGAAATATGGGATGTATAGATTTATTTCCACACTTTTTATCGCTAAATACGATTATAATCTTTCTTTGACGGCAATTCTTCGTTAACCTATAAAACTTTGCATAAATCGTATGTTAAAAATATTTTTTATAGTATAGTTTATAGTATAGTATACTATACTATAGTTATTACATAAGAATATGCTAAAATTGTAAAAATCTACATCTACCGATAATTAAATTCGTACCAAAAATAATATTCTTTTGTGGTATTACCAAATAAAAATGTACTTTTAAAAAAGTATTCGAATGCTCAAAATGGCTCCGAATTTAATTATCGTTAGAATCTTATATAGATAATTACAAATTCAGCATATTGTTATGTAATAACTACCATATAGTAAATATTTTTAACATATCATTTAAACCTCATTTTTATTGCATAGGTAGGATGCAAAGTTTTTTTAGGTTAACAAAGAACTGCCATCAAAGATCATAAACATTTTTAGCGATAAAAGTGTGGAAATAAATCTATAGATCCCATATTTCAATTTTCTTTAGCTTCTGTATACTGCAGAAAACTAATTTGTAGAGAATATTTTAAAGGTTAGGGGTAAACTGCTTTGTGTGCAGTAAATAGTTGGATTATTTACGTACTTGGCGATAAAAAGTATAAAAATGTAACCTTATGCCAATCTTTAAAATGCTTTAAACAGCTGTAAAGAAGGTAAAAATACATTTTTTGAGAGTTCTTTTAGGTTAGGAACGTACAGTTTTATGTCGACTCTGAGGTAAGGCCATATTTATATTAGGCAATGAGAAATACAAAAAACAAATGCTAAACCTTCTATCAAAAATGCATTAAGCGGGAGTAAATTACGAGAAACTGTTTTTTAAGTTTTTTTTGAGGTTAGGGGCGAACCATTGTGTAATCAGCGGTAAAAAATACATAGAATCACAGATAATAGATCAGTGCATTAAATAAATTTCAATTTTTAATTTTATAAAGTTGTTAGTTAATGTAAACTAAGTATTACGGATTTTTTAAAGTGATGTCTATTGCTTGCAGTCGCTATATTGACACCGCCATTTTGAAATTTTACAAAATACCACTCGGCATTTGAAAGTTAAGACGATAAGCTAAAAATTTATCAGTTGCACGTTTCGAAAAACTTTAGTCAATTTTGCACAGGAGGGGGTGGCCGAGTTGAAATGGAATGCCTCATATATAATGAAAGGAAATGTGCATGAATGTTGTATGTTGACCCTATGTCGTTGGCGCACAGTCTAGATGTCGTTCGTACGAGTAGCGAAGTAAAGGTGTTTGAAAAAGTGTGTGTAAACCCGACTTAAAAGAACCAACGTAGTACGAACTTAATTCAGTTCCTTGACTTGTATGGTGCGCAGTCTACAGAAGCAGGTGAGCGTGATGAGCATGAACCTGTCGGCGAAGCTGGACGACCTGCAGCGGGGCGACCGGCACCTGGAGACGACGGTCGCGCTCTGCGAGATCCGCACGCAGCTGCAGGAGCTGACCAAGTCGGTCGAGTCCTGCCAGTCGGAGGTGTCGGAGGTGAAGCGCGACATGGTCGCCATCAAGCAGGAGCTCGACACGGTGCAGGCGGTCAAGGAGGAGATCGAGGAGCTGCGGGAATACGTCGACCGCCTCGAGGAGCACACGCACCGCAGGAAGCTGCGTCTACTCGAACAGGTTTGTCTCCTACTACCTCTACCTATTATTAGGGTGTGCCAAAAAAAGTCTATATATTTTTTTTCTTGCTCTCCACCCAAAATATCGTAGAATATGTCCGAACAAATCTCCTGTTAAAAGCGGAGCTCATAATTTCAATTTTAAGAGGTCCTCCATGGAATCTGAAGTTTTGCCGCTTAAATAACACAGAAAACTGACTTTTTTACCTTATTTATTCTTGCAACCTAGGAAGAAATTTTTTTTTCATAAAATCCATGACCAAATCTTACAAAGCATTAAATTTGGACGAAAAAATCTCATTAAGCCGAATTTCTATTTTCATTATTTGATTTTTTACAGAGCTTTAAATTTAAAATTTTACGTTTTTTGCCTTTTTCAGCTAAACTATTGAAGTTAGACGAAAAAGTCAAATAGCAATTTTTTAGCTTGTCTAATAGACCACAAAAAAGTTTAAGGCGAATTTTTTGTATCGTCAATATTCTAAAAGTTACAGACGTATAAAGTCATCATTCTTGTATTATTAACTTTAAATTTAAAGCTCTGTAAAAAATCAAATAATGAAAATAGAAATTCGGCTTAATAAGATTTTTTTGTCCAAATTTAATGTTTTGTAAGAATTAGTCATGGATTTTATGAAAAAAAATTCTTCCCAGGTTGCAAGAATAAATAAGGTAAAAAAGTCAGTTTTCTGTGTTATTTAAGCGGCAAAACTTCAGATTCGATGGAGGACCTCTTAAAATTGAAATTATGAGCTTCGCTTTTAACAGAATATTTGTTCGGACATATTCTACGATATTTTGGGTGGAGAGCAAGCAAAAAAAATATCGAGTTTTTTTGGCACACCCTAACCCATTATACTTATTACTTATTTTTAGGGTGACGTGACCCATCACGTTTTTAAATCACCTTTTTGCAGAATATAAGAAACAATATTTTTTATATTATTTTTCTATAAACTACCAAAAATCTAGTTAGCCCCAACATATAGTATATGAGTCAATCCAAATGAAAACACCAAAAATGAATTTAAAAGTGCGCTGCATGATTTTTTATTTTAATGAAAAAATTTGAGGATGATCTCTTTTAGGTATCATATATGAAAAACCGTTGCCGTTTTAATTTTTAGTTGCTTTATCTTTTTTTCTGTAGCAATTATTGAAATGATTGTAATTTTATTTTACTGCCTAGTAAGTATGTTTTCAATATTAATTATTATTATCTAATTAGTTAATCTCATAAAAGAATGGTAAACCACTAAAGATTTGTAATAATTTGACAATTTTTGTGTTTTTAGACAAAAAAATAAAAATCTGAAACTTTCAGGAAATGTAGTCCCCACCTTCATCTTTTCAGTCTAGTTAGTCTTGTTTTGTTATTTTTATCCATGTAAAAGATATTTAAAATTTAGATGGCTTTGACTTAGTCAATTCATGTTTGGTAGAGAAATGTCAGAACTGTCAAAAATATTTCATATATATTATTTGTGCGTATTTAAATTGTGATTTCAAAAAAGGGAATCAAAATTATAGAACAAGACTAACTTGGTTTAAATTGTGAAAGAAACCGACAAAAAACTGCTTAACGCATTTTTTATACGTTTAAATTAACTCTTTATTAATTTCACTTATTATACTTAACGATATAAACCATAAGGATCTTGAATATATTTTTTACATTCTTCTTCTTTAAACACCAATTAGCCAATTAAATACTTCATTATAATGTATATAATATATAATCATATATATATGTATATATATATTTATATATATATATATATATATATATATATATATATATATATATATATATATATATATATATATATATATATATATGATTTTTCAATACATAAAATATAACATAACTACCAAATATATTAGAAGTGTCAAAAATATTTCATAATTATTATTTGTGATATTCCTTTGGTGGTTTTATATATAACATAAATTATGTTACAGAATATGGTATATACAAAATTTACCAAATAATATTTATGAAATATTTTTGACAGTTCTGAGTCAGAACTTCTGACACTTCTTCACCAAACATGAAAGCCATCTAAATTTTAAGTTATAAATAAAACTAACAATATCGCTACTAAACGGGCATTCAAAAAATTAATATATCTTTTAAAGGAATAAAAATAACAAAACAAGACTAACTGGACTGAAAATATAAAGGTGAGGACTACATTTCCTGAAAGTTTTAGTTTTTTATTTTTTCCTCAACATAATGATTTCTGAGAGCAAAATTGACTAATATTAAGAACTATCAAGTTTCAATATTTTTTTTAATAAAGAAAATGATAGCCTAGAAACTTCAAATAATAGTTACGTTTTCTATTGTATAAGTACTTGATCCCTGAAAAAAAATAACTTTTTAGATTTAGTAAAATAGGCACAGGAGCCAGACAAAAATCACAAAAATTGGCAAATTATCATGAATCTTTAGTGGTTTACCATTCTTTTATGAGGTTAACTAATTGGACAATAATAATTGAATCTTTAGTGGTTTACCATTCTTTTATGAGGTTAACTAATTGGACAATAATAATTTATATCGAAAACACACTTACTGAACAGTAAAACAAAATTAAAATCATTTCAATATTTGTCACAGAAAAAAAGTTCTGGCCCACTATAAGAGAGTAAGAAATTGACACGATTTCAGATTTCTAAAGGGTGCCGATTAAAAGTAAAGAATCCAAAAATTAAAACGGCAACGGATTTTCATATTTGATACCTAAAACATCATCCTCAATTTTTTTTTTCAAAATAAAAAATCAAGCAGCGCACCCCATTTGGTGTTTTTATTTGGAATGACTCATATATCATTTCATAGTATAAGAATAGCATAATATTAAAAATACAGTTGGGTTGATTTGAGAATTATTCTGGTTGAATAATGTTTTAAAAAGGCGTTTATAAACTGTTTCAAAACTAAAAATAATATTCAATTTTTTTAACCTAAATAAAAAATATGTAAATTTACATACAGGGGTGATTTAAAAAAATATATTTTTTGTGCTCACCAAATTTGAGCTCTTAATATTGATGGGAAGATCCTCCTCATCACGGTTTTCCATTTTTTCTTTAGTCCCTTATAAAAAAGACCATATTTCATTATTATTCAATTGTTTATTCGAATCTTTATACTTTATTTAAGTAGGAAATTGAATGATCTACAAAAAAGGACTGATGTGTTTATGCGATTAATCTATCTACACTCACAGGCAAAATAATCGATCCACACAATTTTTCGATGAATTTCAATCGCAAATAACTTTTTTATTTGATGTCGGATATAAACAAATATTAAAGAATATTGTAGATAAATTAATGGACAATCGCTGACATTTTAAAAAATTACTAAAAAATAGACGTAAGTTTATAATATACAGGTTTAAACAAAAAGATGTTTTTTACCATAAGTTTAAGACTCTCTGTAGAGTGGCAAAACCGTATATTGTTCTAATTTAATTTTTATTTATCAAGTAACATCTATTCTTAACAGTTTTGTTTTTAGTTTACCTCGATATATTTATTTTTGTGGAAAATATGGATTTTTAAAACAAAACATTGCAATTTCCAATATTTTTCTGTATGAAGAACTAAGGTTGCTATGGTCCATCCATAGTGACAGTTTTGTTGAATCATCCCATACTTTGACATGTCATACACGGCTTTCAAAAGCTATCAAATTGTTTTTTGCACATTAATGTTTAAATTTTGAGGTGTCTTCTTACTTTAAAAAATGGATATGTCTCCGAGTGATGTTGCCAGAGCCATTAATTTAATCCAGGATGGAGGGTCACAGTATTACGTGGCAAGTGTTTTAAACGTCACAAGAAGTAAAGTACAAAGGACAACATCAGCCGGAGACATTTTTAAAAGTAAGAAGACACCTCAAAATTAACACATTAATTTACAAAAAACAATTTGATAGCTTTTGAATGCTGTATATGATATGTCCAAGTATGGGATGATTCAACAAAACTTTCACTGTCATCCTCCATAGGCTATGGATGGACCATAGCAACCTTAGTTCTTCATACAGGAAAAATATTGGATGTTGCAATGTTTTTTAATACATATTTTCCACAAAAATAAATATATCAAGGTGAACCAAAAACAAAACTGTTTAAAATAGATAATTAAAACTTAATTTAGAACAATATACAGCTTTGCCACTCTACAGAGTGTCTTAAACTTATGGTAAAAAACATCTTTTTGTTTAAACCTGTATATTATAAACGTACGTGTATTTTTTAGGTATTTTTAAAATGTTAGCGATTCTCCATTAATGTCTCTACAATATTCTTTAATATTTGTTTAAATACGAAATCAAATAACTGCGATTAAAATTCATCGAAAATTTGTGTGGATCGATTATTTTGCCTGTGAGTGTATTTAAAAGATATTCGTAAGTAATATCATAAGGGCATTTAATTTTTCCGAAAAGAATCGAAAAAACACGTTGCTAAGTAATATTTTAACAAAAAGCATGAGTGCTGGTGGCAACAAAAATCCGAGTCGAAGAGGAGGATTTTTGCACCTGCACGAATGCATTTTGTTAAAAAATATTACTTAGCATTGTGTTTTTTCGATTTTTTTCACAGGAAAAATTAGATGCCCGAATGGTATTTGACAAGACTATTTTATGAGTAACAGTTAACAATTAAAATATAAATTGCAATTTTGGTGACAACAGCTGTCAAGTTTTGCCGCGGGTAAACTCGAATAAACTGCTGACAGGTGCTGTCACACAGTTTTTTCACCTAGAAACCATTTGTAATTCAAAATTGCGCGTTTGTGATTGGTGGAAATTAAGACGAGGGAAATAGTCAAGATCAATGTTTAAAGAATTTATAAAAAAATTTTTTTAATAATTTAATAACTCATCACTGGAAATTTAACGCTCTACAAAAAAGGTCTGATGTGTTTAATTGATTACTCTAACTGTTGAAAAGATATTCTTATTTAAATCCCCAAGTGTAC